TCAAGCACTTGATTACATAGAGCTTTGTTTGGGGAATATAATTTTTTACAAGTCTGGCCAAAATAAAATACAGACTTGCCCCTAAGATCTGCGGGGTCCTGGGCATGAGCGCAGATGGAAGTCCACATGCCACATATATAAAAGTTGTGGCCGGGCGCGGTGGCTCAAGCCTGTAATCCCAGCACTTTGGGAGGCCGAGACGGGCGGATCACGAGGTCAGGAGATCGAGACCATCCTGGCTAACACAGTGAAACCCCGTCTCTACTAAAAAATACAAAAAACTAGCCGGGCGAGGTGGCGGGCGCCTGTAGTCCCAGCTACTCGGGAGGCTGAGGCAGGAGAATGGCGTAGACCCGGGAGGCGGAGCTTGCAGTGAGCTGAGATCCGGCCACTGCACTCCAGCCCGGGCTACAGAGCGAGACTCCGTCTCCAAAAAAAAAAAAAAAAAAAAAAAAAAAAAAAAAAAGTTGTAAATTACACTAACAAACTCATAAAATATTTCAATTCCCCTATACTGATAAATATCCCATCATAAACACAAAATATACACATAGATACAAATATACCGCCCTTAAAAAAGAGAAAGAAAAGGGCTAACCTGGAAGGCCGGTTCAAATGTGGAATTCTTGAACTTCTCAGAGCTCCATGCGGGGACATGGTGGAATGGAAAGAGCTGGCCCCTGACCCACCCCCTACTTCTCTTCCTAGCCCAGGCTCTGTCTCACATGACAAGGGGCCTTGAGTACATTCACGTAGACATGACCAAGCTCCATCCACATTCCCACTCTCATCGCATCACACTTATTGCGCACCTTTCATGCCTAGGGGTTAAGTACAATAGTGGTATGGTCTGTCCTTGGGGAAGTGTACCTGGAGAAGTGGCCCAGGCCCAGGAATTAGGCTCTAGAAGGGGAATATGGGCTCTGAGTGGGAACATTCCATTGGTGGGTTCTTTCCGCCATGAGAGGTATAGCCAAAGTGGGCCAGAGTGAGGCCCTCTAAAGCATGGGACCCTCTAAAACATGGGACCATAGGCAGAAGGCAGAGCTGGTGAAATAAGATAGCTTAGATGGAAGATACAACCAACAGTAGGGAAATCACTAAAGACATGAAAGCTCCAGGTAAAATGGTGGCTGCAGAGAGGAGAGGAGGGAGAGATAGAGATTATCTAGAAAGCAGATGTGAGCAGACATGTAGAATGCACAAACCAGTGCTTCGGCAAATTCTACCTCCTTCCTGAGGAGCCTCCCAAGTCCTGGCTTCAGCTCCTGCCCAGAGTACCCGCACTTCTCTACTGGGCCCTACAGACCCCTTAGAATGTAGACCCTTCTTTACCTAAGCTAGTTGGAGTAGATTACTGTTACTTGACAAAAATAAAGTCTTGACAAGATACCACTTCATGACGCAAAAGAAACCGAAGTTTTCCCCGAGAGAGAGAGATGGCAGAGAAAGAAAAGGGCTAAAGACAGAGGTTTGAGAAAGATATAAACTTAAAATTCAGAAAAAGAGAAAAAAGAACCCAAGGAAGAGTTGTGATAGGAGTAGGGGAAGAACTAGCTCCCTCGGGTGAGCATTTCAGAAAGAAGAGCTAGGCGGCTGGAAGATGAGGCCTGAGTAAGGGTCACTGGAATTGATGACTAAAAGGTCACCGCTGACCTTCAAGAAAGCACAGCTAGAGACGAGTGTTGGCAGACGGATGTGCCCAGCTGTGCTGGGGAGATGGAGCAGCAGCTTTTCATACATGGCCCAGGGCTTTTCCTGACCTGTATGGGTGTGAGTATGACCCCCCTGCCTGTTTCACCACTTCCTTCTACTGAGCATGCTGGGGAACCCTGGCACCCTTGGGGCCAAGGCAGATTTGAAGTGTGTTAAAGAACAGGGAGTGAAGTGCCATGATCCCGAATGTGACTCCCTAAGGACAGAGTATCTGGAAAAAAACCAACCTACCAACTGAAGAACCACTGCGTTTTGGGGATCCCTAGTCTTTACCTGAAACACTGGGAATTACCTCTTCCTCTTATTCTGCATTCCTTTAGGATAGTTAAGGACAAGTTCCAGCTCAGACAGGTAGCAACCTCCGCTGCTCTGCCTGCCTGACAAGGTGAGCCAGCTTCTCATTTCCTCGTCTTGTCTCAAGGTGTGTACGTGTATGTGTGTGTACGTGTGTGTGTGTATGTATAGGGGAGGATCCCCGACAGAGTCTTTCTTCCAAGTCCCAGCAATTTGGCCGGGCACAGCGATTCATGCCTGTAATCCCAGCACTTTGGGTAGCCAAGGCTGAAGGATTGCTTGAAGCCAGGAGTTCAAGACCAGCCTGGACAACATTGCAAGACCTCATCTCTACCTAAATAAATGAATAAATAAATACAACCAAAACCAAAAAGTTGCCAGGCAAGGTGGTACACACTGTATTCCCAGCTACTCAGGAGGCTGAGGTGGGAGGATCATGTGAGCTCAGGAGGTCGAGGCTGCATGGGACAGCCTGGGCCCAACTTCTCCATCATGACCACTGCTCGGAGACTGCCATATAAGAGAGAATTTTGGAACTGTGAGGTTTGACCCTCATGATGGACCCGCTGCTCTGACTGGCTTGCTGTGAGCTGTCACCCCACCCTATTTCTCCTCACCCTTCAACCACAGCTCCCAACCTGAGTGATCACCAGGCTGTGTGACCCCCACTGCACCCCCTGCCAAGAGTGAAAGGGAGGACAGAGTCCACTGGCTGGTCCTTCCTGCAAAGTTTATGAAACGGGAACAGTGTCAGCAACATCTCCCCTCCCCTGACTCAGCAGCGTGCACTGTCAGCACTTCCAGCCTCCCCGTGACAGTGCACTCCATGGAGAAATAAAAAATAACTGCTCGTTAGAAAAATGAGAGAGTCCTGACCTTTTCCCATTGATTTTTCCCATTTTTTAATTTAAATATCTGCGGCCTGTGGGTATTAGCATCCACTGTCAACTTTCTCGGTGAAGCCATTCCCTAAGGTCCTTCCCCTCTTCACAGGAGACAGGATGTTTCTTAACCTACAGAAGAAGTTTGCTTTTCTTCTCTGAGGACCTAAAGGGAGTTTACCAAATAATATTTTCACATATTTCACTCGATCCTCTTAATTGTCTTGTGAAACAGGCATTATTATCTCCATTCCACAAGAGAGAAACAGACGTTCTGAATGATCCAGTGACTTGCTCAAGGCTGCTGAGTTCGTAGGTCCTGGACCTGAGAATTGACTTCTGCCTCCTGACTCTAAAGTCTATGCCAGGCTAACAAATCCCAGGGTGGGGGCTGGCACAGTAGGAGTGTAGTGTGGGAGACAGAATCTCAAATCCTTGTCTTTCCCTCTTTTCATAGAGCCCAGACATTGTGAGTTAAAAATAATAATAATAATAATAATAATAATTCTCAGGCTGGGTGCGGTGGCTCACGCCTGTAATTCCAGCACTTTGGGAGGCCAAGGTGTGCAGATCACTTGAGGTCAGGAGTTCGAGACCAGCCCAGCCAATGTGGCAAAACCCCATCTCTACTAAAAACACAAAAAATAGCTGGGCATGGTGGGGGGCGCCTGTAGTCCCAAGCTACTCGGGAGGCTGAGGTGAGAGTGAGAGGTGATAATGTGCTAGCAGCCCTCACTCTCAGCGCCCCCTAGGCCTCAGCGTCCACTCTGGCGGCACTTGAGGAGCCCTTCAGCCGGCCACGGCACCATGGGAGCCCCTCTCTGGGCTGGCTGAGGCTTGAGCCTCCTCCCTCTGCTTGCCTCCTCCCTCTGGTGTGGAGGGAGAGGCGTGGGCGGGAACCGGGGCTGGCTGCCTTGCTCGCTGGTCAGTGTGAGTTCTGGCAGACGCGGGCATGGGCTCCGCGGGCCCTGCAGGTCCCACACACAGAGCAGCCAGCCGGCGCCGCCAGCCCAGGGCAGTGAGGGGCTTAGCACCCGGGCCAGCAGCTGCGGAGGTTGTGCCGGGTTCCCCAGTGCCGGCCCGCCGACACTGCACTCAAATTCTCGCCAGGCCCTAGCTGCCTCCCTGAGGGGCAGGGCTCGGGACTTGCAGCCCGCCCTGTCTGAGCTCCTCCCCCTACGGTGGGCTCCCTGGCAGCCTGAGCCTCCCGGACTGGTGCCACTCCCTGCTCCATGGCGCCCAGTCCTATGGACAGCCCAAGGGCTGAAGAGTGCAGGCGCGGCTCGGGACTGGCCGGCAGCTCCGCCTGCAGCCCTGGTGCAAGATCCACTGGGTGAAGCCAGCTGGGCTCCTGAACTGGATGCCGACTTGAGGAACTTTTATATCTAGCCGGATGATCGTATGTGCACCAATCAGCATTTTGTGTCTAGCTCAGGGTTTGTAAATACACCAGTCAGTACTCTGTATTTAGCTAACCTAGCTAGTGGAGACTTGGAGGACTAGCACTCTTGTGACTCTGTGTCTAGCTCAAGGATTGTAAATGCACCAATCAGCACTCTGTGTCTAGCTCAGGGTTTGTATATGCACCAATCAGCACTCTATGTCTAGCTCAAAGTTTGTGAATACACCAATTGGTATTGGTACTCTGTATCTAGCTAACTCTGTATCTAGTTAACTAGCACTCTGTGACTCTGTGTCTATCTCAAGGATTGTAAAGGTACCAATCAGCACTCTGTCCAAACGGACCAAGCAGCTCTCTGTAAAATATACCAATCAATCAGCTCTCTGTAAAATGGACCAATCAGCAGGATGTGGATGGGGCCAGATAAGGGAATAAAAGCAGGCTGCCGGAGCCAGTCAGTGGCAACCCGCACGTCCCCTTCCACAAGGTGGATGCTTTGTTCTTTGGCTCTTTGCAATAATTCTTGCTGCTGCTCACTCTTTGGGTCCACGCTGCCTTTATGAGCTATAACACTCAGCGAGAAGGTCTGCAGCTTCACTCCTGACAGCAAGACCACGAACCCACCAGAAGGAAGAAGCTCCAGACACATCTAAACATCTGAAGGAACAAACTCTGGACACCCCATCTTTAAGAACTGTAACACTCACCGCGAGGGTCCATGGCTTCATTCTTCAAGTCAGTGAGACCAAGAACCCACCAATTCTGGACACAGGAGGATCGCTTGAACCTGGACCTGGGAGGCAGAGGTTGCATTGAGCCAAGTTTGTGCTACTGCATTCCAGCCCAGGAGACAGAGCAAGATTCTGTCTCAAAAAAAAAAAAAAAAAAAAAAAAAAAAGTCAAAGAGAAAGAGCAAAAAAAATACACTGACCCTTAGAGCAACGGCTTTAAACTTTTACAAATGTGACCCATTTGTAAAAGTACATTTTATATCTTGATCTGGTACATCACACACTTACACGCACGCACGCACACACACACAACTGGGCCAAAAGCTTTAGCAAGAGTAATATACTCTGATATATTTTGTTCTACTCCATTGAATTCTTTTTTTCCCCTTTTAATGATGGTTTTGACCCACAACATTGATTACCCACAATTGAAAAATGCTGCCTTAAAGCATAAACTATGCATTCAGAGACAAGCTCTCATACTACTCTTGTATAAAGTGCCAACTTATACAGTGCCCCAACACAAGAGTCCGTGTTCAGGAAATACTTGTTGAGCCTCTGGGCTTTTAAGGAGCCAATAATCCACAAGTTAAACAACTTGTTCTGGAAACTCCCCAGTTTGGTTTATGTGGAAAAGATCATGCTAATTCCAAATCCCAACAAACAAATCATTCACACACGTGCATACAAAAGAAAAACCTGGAAATGGATCTCTGTTGTGAATCTAGACTTGAAATTTTAAAATAAAATACTAGCAAATAGATTTCTTTCAGCAGGCATGAGTTAAGTGTCTGCCCAGTGCTGTGCACTGTCCTAGTGTCTAGAGATACAGAAACAAATAGGATCCAGGCCCTGCCCTCAAGGAGCTGCGGAGTGGCAGGAGGCTGAGAAGCAAAGCCTACAGTGCAGTGTGATGAGGGTAGCACAGGCTGTCAGGGAGTAGAAGGAAGTTATCTACCCAACCTAAAGGGCATAAAGATGGTTTCCTTGGAGCTACTCAGAGCCTAGACTTGAAAGGATGTAAGTTAGGTGGGAAAATAAATGGAGGACAGAGGTTTCAGGCAAAAGGAATAGCATGTGCAATGCTGTGGCAGTCACAGTTGATTGTCTATCCCATAACCAATCCCTATGTTCCGTGCTGGCAGTATGTTAATTATTTTGGGAAGGCATGGAGAGAGAGTGTCTACTACTCCTCTATATAATTTAGGGGGAAATCCTGACTAATATGAGCCAATCATCATGATCCCAGGATCCTTGCCAATTATTGGTTTAGGAATGAGCATAATAAGACCTGAGTCTGGCCAGTGAAATTTCAGGAAAGAACTTCCAGGAACAGGCTTGGGAAAAGGTTTCCTTGTTCTTAAAGAGACTCATGGTAAGAAAGAGTCTGTTTTGGCCAGGCGCGGTGGCTTACGCCTGCAATTCCAGACCTTTGGGAGGCCGAGTCGGGCCGATCACCTGAGGTCTGGAGTTTGAGACCAGCCTGGCCAGCATGGTGAAACTCCGTCTCCACGAAAATACAAAAATTAGCTGGGTGTGGTGGCAGGCACCTGTAATCCCAGCTACTCGGGAAGCTGAGGCAGGAGAATCACTTGAACATGGGAGGTGGAGGTTGCAGTGAGCCGAGATCGCACAAATGGACTCCAGCCTGGGCAACAAAGCAAGACTCCATCTCAAAAAAAAAAAAAAAAGAAAGAAAAGAAAGAAAGAAACTGTTTCCTTCAGCTAGATGCTTTACTGTGTCAGTGAAATTCCTGGCTGTGATGTGGTCATTTCGTGCCCACGAGACAATCTACCTGGAGGGTGCCAAACCAGAAAGACAGAAAAACCAGGGACTTCAATGACTTTATTGAGTAGCCGAATTAACCAACCCTAGAGCTACTCTAGCCCACAACATGATGTCATCATGTAAGCTAATTGATTTTCCCCATCGTAAAAGTCAGTTGAGTCGGGGTTTTGTGTTACTTGCAGTCAAAATGAAATTAAACGAACTGGGCACAGTTGAGTTTACCTGTATTACCAGCTATTTGGGAGGCTGAGGCAGGAGGATCACTTCAGTCAAGGAGTTCAAGGCCAGCCTGGACAACATAGTGAGACCCATCTCTTAAAATAAAAATAATTAAATGAATGCAAAAGCTATAGACAAGGAAAAGGCATGTTCTGGGTTCTGCAAGGCAAAAATTGAGATCCAGAGGCCAAATCATACTATACTACAAACTTTAGCTTCAACATGAGATGCAAATGGCTGGTAAACATATGAAAAACTTGACCTCACTATTAAAGATAAAAGCACTTTGAAACTAAAATGAGATGTCATTTTTCACCTCCAGATTGACAACGATCAAAAAGCTTCATCATATCCAATATTGTCAAGAAGAAACCAGCACACCTATATGTTGCTGATGGGATGGTAAATGGCATAAATCTATGGACAGTAATTTGGTAATAACTTTCAAACCAAAAATGGACTTGATCTGACAATTCCAGTTTTAGGTATTTTATCCTACAGATATAGTTGGATGTATGGAAAATAACATGCACAAGGATGTTAGTTACAGCATTGTTTGTAAAAGCAAATTGGCTAACAACTATTTAATTGTTCATTATAATAAGGGATTGATACATTATTACATTCATATTGAGTTATATGCCACCATTAAAAGGAACGAAACAGTTCTGTACCTATTGATATGGAACTGAATCAAATAAATATTGTTAATCAAGAAAAGCAATATGTTAAATAGTACAGAATGGTATGCTACTAATTTTTTTTTTTTTTTTTTTTTGAGACATAGTTTCACTCTGTTGCCCAAGCTGGAGTGCAACGGCATGATCTCAGCTCACTGCAACCTCTGCCTCCTGGGTACAAGCTGGTATGCTACTATTTACGCATATAGGGAAGAATATTTGAAAATACATAAGACACGTTTGGAATAATCGCAAGAAACTGATAGTATCAGCTTCCCTAAGGAAAGGAATTAAGTGGATGGAAGTCAGGCAAGGAAGGGAGACTGACTATCACTGTATATACATACCTTCTGAATTTTGTGCCATGTACATACATTGCACATTCAAAATAATTCATTAATAGAAGGAGGACTTAATTCCCCAAATAAAAGAATATCTTAATTGGAAATACCACAACCTATTAAGCTCAAAAGAAATTGTTTGATTTTTTTTCTATAACTGCAAAAATGGCATTCAGTATTCAATATACATTCATTTTTAAGTGCTAGTAGAGATAGAATGAGTCTTCTTAATAAAGAGTACCTAATATTGGACATCATATTAAATTATGATTTTTGTAGAAGACATTGTCAATCCTTAGAGATCACAATAAGTTGCCTCCAAAAAAAGCTAGAAAGAAAATTAATCTCAAAATTAAATTAGTAAGATCCTCATACCACAAATGTGATTAGCTACATATTTGAAGGTAAATCTAAAGATTGTAATTTGTGACTTAAGAGATTAAGAAGAGACAGTATTCCAGTCCAGGTGTTCTGGGAATAATTTCAGGGAGGCAGGAGAACGTAACAGTAATGCCTCAAACGGAAACTTGAACCCTAGCTGGAAAAAGACCTAGTGCATGTGGGGGAATTAGTCAACCAGGCAAACACATCAGTTCCCCCTAAACATGGCTAAGTGGGGAAGAATCTCTTTGCCAAGCAGACTTCCACGTATACTTCCAGCCTTTGCCATAACCTGCCTTAGCTGGGAGATAATTCTTGAAATTAGCTCACTACTTGGTACGATTTCATGCTTCTTAAGCATCTCTGAATAATCTGGCTGTCTCTGAGGTTTATCTAAGGAGAGAACATATATAATGGTCAGGCTGACTTGAGCATTCTAGTCCACTCAAAGATTGTATTTTAATTGTAAACTGCTGAACTTCAAAGTCCCATTCCAGTTTCAGAGGTTCTCCCCCAATCCCCACCACCACCTCCCACCCTGGAATCAGCTAAGGTCCCAGTTGCAACTCCATTGCAGGACATCTTGTTACAGGTGTGTCTTCTGTAAAAAACCCTCTGCAGACAACTCTCCATCTCAGAGTCTGTTTCTATGGCACCCAGTCTAAGATACAATGTATGTATGCAAACATATATACGTATATACATACATTTCTTTATAAAGAAATCTATAAAACCTTCTATGTGATGGCCAGGCACGGTGCTCACACCTGTAATTCCAGCACTTTGGAAGGCCAAGACGGGCAGATCACCTGAGGTCAGGAGTTCGAGACCAGCCTGACCAACATGGAGAAATCCCATCTCTACTAAAAATACAAAATTAGCTGGGCATGGTGGTGCATGCCTGTAATCCCAGCTAGTCAGGAGGCTGAGGCAGGAGAATCACTTGAACCCAGGAGGCGGAGGTTGCAGTGAGCCGAGATCATACCATTGCACTCCAGCCTGGACAACTAGAGAGAAACTCCGTTTCAAAAAAAAAAAAAAAAAAACAAACTTCTATGTTATCTGAAAAGATGTGAATGAATGGAAAAATAGAAGTTCCTGGATGGGAAACCTAAATATTATATAAATATGTGTTTCCTACAATTTAAGTTACATATTTAGCAGAATCTTGGTAAAAATCCCAGAAGGATGTTTTTAAACATATGACAAAAGAAAGGAAGAAAAGGAAAATTCTAAACAGGCAAGAAAGAAAACAGGCCTGGCACAGTGACTCACACCTGTAATCCCAGCACTTTGGGAGGCCGAGGTGAGAGGATTGCTTGAGGCCAGAAGTTCGAGGCCACAGTGTGCCATGGTTGCACCAATGCACTCCAGCCTGGATAACAGAGAGAGACCTTGACTCAAAAGAAAAAAAAAGGAAGAAAACCTGTTGCGGAGGGGAATGAAAGAAGGTGAACAAGATCTATCAAAAGTAAAAACCTGTAAAAAAAATAAAATATTGAAATTTTTTCTTTGTAGAGATGGGGTCTCACTGTTACCCAAGCTGGTCTCAAACTCCTGGCCTCAAGCAATCTCCCCCCTTAGCCCCTAAAAGTGCTGGAATTACAGGCATGAGCCACCACACCTGGCTTCCTGTACTGAGATCTTAATTTAAGAATAGCTGGGCGCGGTGGCTCACGCCTGTAATCCCAGCACTTTGGGAGGCAGAGGCGG